CTCAACACCCACTTCATATTAGAATACATAGGACACGGTTCAGCTTCTATCGGCACAAGAGCAGGAAGAACGGTACGCTTTTTGGCTACAGCAGGTCGAGTATGGGGTACCTCCGTATTCTGCTGCTCAGCCCCATATTCTGCAGCTGGGTTCTCTTTTTCGCTCTCATTCTTCTCGATATTCGTGATTTTCTCGTTCTCTGGCTCGTGTATGCACTCTTCAATTTCCTCGAGGTCCTCGCTGTATGAATGGATGATGCTCGAACTCATTGGACTCGTTTTCAGCCGATACACTAGTCGGTCCATCTGGTCCACCAATTGGCTCATTTGGCCTTGTAAATTCTGTATGCGCAGTCCATGGTTCTCGATGCTCATCTCTTGGTTCTTGATGATCGCCTCTTGGTTCCTGATGCTCGCCTCAACACTTTGCTGAAAGTTAAGAGTGTTAGCCGTCAACTCCTTCATCATCTCCTCGAGCGGCGGACCAGGATCTCTCTCAAATAATGGCTCGCAGTGTTCTTGCAGAAATCTCAACGTGTGAGCCTCTACTGCCTTCACCATATCCTCTAGAGATGGGCTGGGATCTCGCGCAATCGGTGGCTCAGAGTACCCATGGAAAGAGTTCGAGTGCTCTCTCAAGCCGTACTCGTTCTCCTCGGGATACATGTAGTCTTGCTCGTACCTTCGCCAGCCATTAGGTCCTCTTACGCCTCTATCTCCAATCCACGGGCCTCGTATCTCCCTCTCATACTGGTAAGGTTCACGGTGGGTATAAAAGTCGTGATAATAGGCTGCCATCTCGAAAAGTTGCGCTAAGCTCGATCAAAAACGCCAAAACTCAAGTTACTCCCAAGAGTATGGGGGCGAACTAATCTGTCAAGCAGAGTACGGGGTCTCCCTGTATTCTGCGCGAAAATAAAAGAAATAAAACAAGTAAAAGAGGAATAAAAGATGATAAAAATAAAATCCTAAAAAATTAAACTTCAATTAGTACTCAAAAAAATCACAATTCAATAACGCCACTCCCCGGCAACGGCGCCAAAATTTGACCGCGCGTCGCAACGCGGCAAAATTAATATTTATATTTTTCCTCAACTAACCCCTACTAACTAGTAGTAGTGGCGAGCAAGGGTCGATCCCACGAGGAGTGTGAATCAAATCGTGAATTTTCTCGTATTAATTGAAACTATAAAAAGCGATAAATGGGGGGGATTGGTTTAAAAACTAAACTTATTAAAAATCCTAATAAACAAAGGAAATAAAAATAAAATAGAATAAATAAAGAGAAGTTTCTAGTTCACGGTTCCGTCTACACCCTCGACTGACTCGTCTAATCAATTCTGGTATCAAATCTCGCTATCTTATGAAATTACTAGCCCTAGGCAACGACACGGTCAGTTACCCGAATTTTTCCTTATTTTTAATTTAACCGCGAGACGCTCTACGATTAAACCTGACTTCATGTACAGTCCAGAAAAACGTTTTCAAGATTTAATACAATTAGCCGCTTTACGAATTAGAAAAATAGGCTAGACTAAGTAGTGAACTCAACCGCGTTCGTTCACTTAAATAGGCCGTGTTATCCCCGGTAGTTACCATCTTCCGGTTACCTCTTATGAATTAAACACAACAACAATTACGGATTGAAGGTCTAATTCAGATGTAGATATGAAAAGCCTAATCTAGGTGATCAATCTAAACAAGACTAACACATCATGATGAATTATTCAAAATAACACAAGCAATTCCAAAAAGATATTGAAATTATCAACCATGAAAATCAATCAAACATAGTCAAGTCGTAGGGTTCAACTTCCCCGGAACTAGAAATAAACTAGCCTAACATAATAATAAAAATAAATAATAAAAGAGAAGAGATAATAAAAAAGAAAAGAGAGAAAATAAAATTCTCCCTCGTGTGCGGGTGCGGCTTCCCTCCGCAATTCGTCGGGCTCCTCGTATCTGTCCGTGCGGCTCTCTACTGCGTGGTGGCTTTTTCTATTTTTCTTCTCCCAGTTGCGTGAATGGAATATCAAATGACGTCCCCCCCCCTTTTATTTTCCTTGCAAATAAATCCTTTTCAATCTCTCTCAAAAGAATCATACTCCCATTAGGACTTTAATCTCCCCAAATAGATATACTTTTTGCTGCGTTAGTATATTATCTTTCCAAAGAAAACTCCTGCTACTACCTCTTTGTTTTTGCAAACAATTGGTGTGATGTATTGCCCATTTCCAAGCCTAAGAATTCGTCCCTATCACAGCTTCTCATATTGGGCTTTTGATTTCATTAATATTAAGCCCAAATTAACCACGTCCAAATTCTCGTTTGGTATCACGTCGCTCATAAAAATACTCAAATATCTTGAAAATAAACCATAAAAATATCAAAGCACCTCAATCCATCTAATAAATAAATAAGTCGAAAAACAATATAAGTGCGATGAAATTAAGCATATAAAAATATGCTAATAAATATATAAATATGCACTCTTTCCGACCAATCAAACACCTATAATTTGTAAACAATAAAGGTAGATAGCATGAATCAACTCGTCAACAAAAATAAATACAATATCTAAATTAATCAACGATAAATAAAGATCATTCAATCAATAGACAAATCAAAGTTAGAGTTTTAACATACATTCAAACTGGTTAAAAATACTATCCAAAGATATTGATAATAATAATAATAAATAAAAGACAAAAGAGAGATAATATAATTATCACCCTCATGTACGGGTGCGACTTCCCACCATGTGGTGCGGCTGTGTGTGTTGCTGCTTTTTTTTCTAATATGTAATTAATTAACTCATGCAAAATGCAGCAGTTTCTTTCTAATCTATACTTATATTAAAAGGTATACCATTTACCAGAATTAGTATAAAGAAAAGTCAACAACATTTATTGCATTAATATTTCCGTATTATACAATCTATACTTATATAAAAGGAGATTCTATTTACTACATTTACTATCCAGAAAAGTCAATTGCATTAAATGTCATTACTATTTTGGTGTTATAATATTTTATTTATTTATTTTATTTTAAAAAGGTAAGTATAATAAAAAGATTTTAATAATAAAAAAATTAAATACCAAATAAAAATGTACACTTTGACTTATTTGATTATATTTGATATTTAATTATACCAAATATATTCCTATTTAGTATATACATTAAATACTTACTAAAGTATTTATTTGTTTTATTTGTCAAAGTTAAGTATAGATTTGTTTATATTATCAAATCATAAAAAAAATTAAATCCATATTGTAAAAAAAAATCATATAATTTTATAACAATTCTACTACACTATTTAACAAATTTTCTTTTTTATTATATAATAAAATAATAATTATATATTATATGGTGAACAACAATAAGTAAAACTGTTACTTTCTCTTATATCAAGGGATAAATTTATATGCTAAAATTAAATTTTTATTAGTATAAATGTTTTAGTGAGATAATATATTAATTATTTTACAAGCTAGCCCTAACATGCTCATATTTAATGTTTTAAAAGATGTAAAAAAAAAACTTATAATAACTTTATTGTTTTTTAGACTTAAACGTTGATTAAAAGAGGTAAAAGTTCCTAATTTTTTAGACTTAAACGTTGATTAACAGCATAATTTGAGAGTTTATATTTAGTAAAATACCTAATTGTAATAAAAAAATTAATTTTTGCTATATTTTAGAATATCTTTAAATTCATTATAAAAAAAAGAAAGAAAAAAAACTACAATGAAAAAAGCAAGTCAGCTATATATGGATTTGTTGTACTACTCAAATCACATTCACAATTTGGCTACAAGGAAAGGAAACTCATTGATTAAATATTATTTTGTCAGTAGTCTTAATGTAGAAGAGACTTTAAGACTCCACTTGAATATTATAAAACTTTTATTGAACATTGTACAATTTTCTTGCGTATTATAAACTTTTATTGAATATTGCATCTTATAATGTAATATTCTCCAAATAAATATATCTCGTGCTTCGCACGGATCACGTACTATATATATTCCGTATATTTTTCTTTATTCATGTATATAATTATAAGCCTGAATAAATAGCCTTCAAATTGTGCACCACGTGCATCGCACGGACTCTGTACTAGTGTTAACTTTAAACATGAGTGGAAAAAATTGGCTTTTGTATTATATAGTTTGCCAAAAAATTATATATATCCAAAACTGAATTTTATCAAACTTACCGAGTTATGCAATGGCAAATCTGAAAATTTGATTTTTATAATATTATAATAAAAAAGAGTCTTGAACGATTGCCATGTATGTTCGCGGAAAACTCATTGGTAAATGGTAATCAATTTGGTAATGTTGCATTACTCCATAAATATTACATCAATGTTTTTAGTCGCTATATAAGTTGTCCCCTCATATAGAATGATCAAATTAATGGAGGCAACGATTAAAAAGTTTTATCTACACCGAATACTTCGTACTCAATCGATCTATATTCATGAAAAATTGCAACTCAGTTAGTTAGCTACCAAATGTAGCAGTAACTTAGTTCCAAAGCCACCATGACCTGCAAAAATGGGCCAGGTTTCCATATCTGGAAAGGTGTGGAGTAAACTTTAATCCATTGAGATCCCAATGAACAAATCCATTTCCATGCTTAAACTAAACAATGTCATATTATATATCTTTTTTCTTTCTTTTGCGCACACCTCTAACAGATATATATACTTCAATCATAAGGGTGGGTTACTTATTCCATCACAAGATATCCTTCCTAGTCCATGTTCTCTTTTGTCTTTATGTACCACAAACAGGAAGCAAGGTATAAAGACTAATTATCTTTTTACTCAATAATTGCGTTTTGCCCCCAAAGGCAAAAGAAAGGGCAGCTCATACGCAATAGAAGCTTCACAATTCTAACAATCACAAGTTCTAATATGTCGGGTTAACCAATCATATTTTTCTAACACATATACATTCTTATAATGTGTTCTTCTAAAGTATGAAATTTCAGTACGAAAATATATACATTAGGAAGAAAATGTTTAGATACGAATTTCTAATAGGTATATGAATAGTTGAGACATTACAAGTTCAATTTGTCCAACAACATGAAGGCAGCACCAGTCATCTAATATAAAAGTAGCAGCCTCCATTTATTTCAATAGTAAATGACAATATAAAAACAAACAGAAAAAGGAAGGGGATGCTAACAAAACTCTAAATACAGAAAAGAATGGACAATAATAGATACCAAACCAAACCAAACCAAACCCAAAGAGAAACAAAAACAACAAATCCAAAATGCCAAATGAAAAATCCACACTAGGGTACATATATAACCTTTGGTCTATATTTTCACCTAATTCAAAGCAAATCCCAAGGGAAACTCGGTTGAGCCACTCGAGTCGACCCAGCCGAAGTCGAGGGCCCACCTACGGCCGAGTCGAATGTCTCCCATTGAGTAGTTATAACAACCGAGCCACCTGCTGAGTGTCGAGCTGGCTGCTGCTCGACTGGAGAGTCAATTAACGAGTGCCCAAACGAGACCCGGCCTTGAGAGTCAACAGGGGACGACACGTCAGCATTCGAAAACCTCCTTTGCTTGTGAGGCTCATCTTTTCCGTTGCTTGTGTGGGGCACCGAGTTTTTAATCTTTAGCACGTCGAGAGTCTCGACTAACTTCTGCACTCTTCTCACCTTCCGAATTTAGACGAGCAAACGGAATTTCGTAAACCGGGCATATGAATTTGAATGACGGAAAAAAAATGTATATATAAGCATGAATTGTACCTGCATTTTCCTTTGTAATTTGACGTCACCATCGGCAATGATGCCGTCCAATTTAAGCAGTTGATTCATTAAGAGCTCGATGAGGTTCACGATATCCTTCTCCGCCACTTTCGCACCCTTGGAAATAACGGATTCAAGTGCCGATACCTAACCAAAGCCCGTAAATCATGTTCAATTAATAATAATCACCCGTAAATCATGTATGCAATCGAACAAATTGATGGTCGAGCGGAAAAGATAAAATAAAAAACCTGTCCGGCTAGCCTATCGACTTCCAAGCTGATTTCTGATACAGATTTCGCAGTCTTTTCCATTTTAGCACTTTTCCTCATTTCCAAATAACGCTTTTCTTGGCTAATAGGATCTTCTTGCAGCACGATTTTAGATTTGTCCTTGACACCTGATGTATCAAGGAATGCTTTCGAATCCCTCTCTTTGTCTTTAAAGAACAGCTTCTGATCCTGGTGGTGCAGGCCCGTCGGGCCGGATAACATCTTCTTCAATTCCCCTGTTATTAATTTTCATTTCACAATCAAAAACCTTTTACATTCCAACAATAACAAAAAAAAATAAAAATGCAATTTAGTAGGTGAATCGTCATTATTATTACCGAATGTTGCTTGTGAGCTGATCCGGATTTCGTGATAGATCGATCCATATTTGACCCGGACCCGAATAGTTGGTGGTGGGACCCGGTTTTGGTCCGTTTCTGTTCGTGTCTGGACTAACATCCCACCTGGCCGAAGCTCCCACTCCTTCTCACGGCTGCTGCCGCCATTGACTGGCGGTGGCCGGACAGAGTCATTCATAGTCCTCATTCGCATCATCCTTAAGTCAATTCTCTTACAACACTAAAACAAAATCCAAAGCCAAAATCAAATTGTTCTCCTTAAATTGCCGCCGACAGATTTTGGAGACGATTTAGGAACTCAGCAGATCGAGAGCACTGACTCGGAGTTGATCTGGAGTTAAGTCACACATATCCCGACTTTAGCGAAAAATGAGACAAAAAACAAATTAATGAAAAAGCAAAAGCAAAAACGAAAATCCAAAAACGTATAACAGACATGTGAAAATTCAGCACTACACGGATAAAACGCTGCAGCCACGCGTCCATACGGAGGAACCTTTATACCTTAAAACTCCTTAATTCTTCTTATAAACTGCGCACTAGTAACCGTATGTGACGGCAGGTAACAGCCACACAAAACTGGTGATGGAATCTAATTTAATTGTTTTTGTTGAATAACGCATTAATTGGATAGATGGTGAGAAAATGGTGAATAAATAAAAGTCAAACTCGTGATTTATGAACAGTAAAAGCTAAAGATCGTTCTCCGGCCAACGGAATTTAATTATGTCGGCCGGAGTGGAAAATTGAGAAAATAAAAGACAACGACAAAAATAAATCAGATCTCTTACCAAAAGCCCGCGATGTAGTTGAGAATCATCTTTTGTCGCGTGAAATCTGCCGGAAATTTATGAGACTCCGAATTATAGGACTGAGATTAGGCCGCCGATTGGAATTAGCAGACAGAAAAAATGTCAACCGTTCTATAAAAATAAAAAAAAATATTTATATATATAAAACAAAAATTGAACTGATTTTTAGTATTGCCCCTCTCTGTATGTGCTTGGTTGGAGGAAGAAGACTCGACCAAGACGAATTAAGTGAGAGAAATAAAAAAGGAAAATGTATGGACAGCGAACAAAGAACAGAACATAGAGCACAAATTTATTAGTATATATATAAAAATGAGTTTAATATCATTTTTTAATACATTGCTCTAATCAAGAACAAATGATATAATTAGATTAGAGATCCATCAACAAAGCCGCCAACGATTATTTTATTTATGGTTTAGATGGCTCAAAAAGAAATGGGGACGGCCACTATTTTGACACGGACTTTGATTTCAATTTTTTGGCTTCAGATTTGTCTAATTAAGGTATAAATTTTGTTCAATTTTGTAATTAAATTCTTGGGATCTTATTTTTATGTTTAGCTAGAAATTGCAGTGTTTGTGCCTGTAACTTCAAGTTGGAGTGAAGAGTTAGAGATTAATTTATTACTTAACGAATTATGTAATGATAAAAATTTTACGATTGATTTTGATAATATTAAAAGAAGAATAATGTATGATTGTCATGTGTTTTTTAGTGAATTAGGTAGCAATTAAACATAAAATGATAATAGTAGATTAGATTGCCATTAGATATAAAAGGTTTTTCACAATTTTTGTCAGGAGAAGAAATAGGGATTGAAATATGAAAAATATTTTTAAAAGTGATACTATTTATTTGTTATTGTAAGTTTGCAACGATATATAAAATAAAAATATAATAATTAAAATTGATGTGGTTACAAAATTATAATATTATTTGGTAGTGAGATGCATACTAGTGAGTGAATGACGTTATTTGCTAAAAAAATTTATCAGTTATTGATTACAGTTCTTTAATTATATTAGTAGGATTGTATGGAAAAAAAAAATGAAATGGAATAAATATTATTTTTCATGATTTTTTTTATTTTTAATAAATAAATCTTAATTATATAAGTAAAGAGAACATTATAATATTATGTATATCAAAAATTTTATGGAGCCATCGAATACTCCATAGCAAAACTGTTATATATATACCGTTGTCAAATGTTTCTCAAGTTGTTAATTTCTTTTCAACTACACTAACTTTATACATGATTTTTGAATCACAACTTATTGTATAAGCCGAGTTAACTGTTAGTGGGATCGACCTATTATATGTGTTAACAAAAACATATATTTATGGTATGAAATATCATATTTTTATTTATGTTATTTTTCAGAGTATGATATTTAAGTTAAAAAATATATATATCTATAAAAAAAAATGTCTAATCGTTAGACCTACCAACAAAAGATATGTGACTGTTTTCAAATATATTGATAGTAAAATAATTAGAGAAATAGACATTCAAGATCAAAATAAAATGAAATTAACAAAAAAATCTATGGAATCATTCGATGGCTCACTTATTGAGTCATCCATAGAAAAACTGATCGAAATTAAAATTGAAGTCGTATTAAATAGGGGCCATTGCTATCTTAACTAATACTGTAGAGTTAGAAGTGTTGCTCTTTATAATTAATCTCGATCATTTGCATATATACATATACAATTAATTTATGTTATATGTGTGTATATAATATTTATAATCAAAAGTTAAATAGTGAGCATATTACATACTATAAATTTTATCATTAGTATAAAAAGAACAATATAAATATAAGTTATTTAATTTACTTATGAATCACTATGTTGCAATAATTATTTTTTGCAACCCTGAGTAGTTTTCACGAATTAATGAGAGAAAGAATATTGAAATTATTATTATATCAATTGTATACAGAATTTTAAGAGGTTTGGTTATGACAAAAAAAAATTATTAACTAATTTTAATAAAAAATGTTAATGAGTTGAAAAAAAAAAGATAATAATAATAATAAGTACATAGTTCGAAAAAAAATGCAATAGTTTTATTTATAGATATATAATTACATAGTTCATTTAGTTTGATTTTATGATTAATTACTAATTCATGTTATTATGTAATACAATAGAAAAAATATATAATTAATTATGCAAAATGTAGCAGCTTCTTTCTAATATTAACTTTAAACATGAGTGGAAAAAATTGGCTTTTGCATTATACAATTTGCCAAAAATTATATATATCCGAATCTGACTTTGATAATGGAAATAACATAAGATTAAATATTAAATATCTAACTACAACAACAGAGAAAAGTACATAGGAAGAGGATGTGGTTCAATTGAGAACCAAGTTTTAGCGTAAGAACCGTGAGAACCGCTATTTTTATTTGTACGTCGTGCTATGATTGATTGTGTTTTAGTGCTATTTTTAATCAGGATGTATTTTATTAAAAATAGCATCATTAATTTATATTAGCATTTGTGAAATTGATAGCATCATGTGATATTAAAAATAACATCATATACAATAAAAAATAGCATCAAATACGGTTCTCACACCAGAACTCGTTTTTATTTGAACCAATCCCTATAGGAAGATATGTTAAAAAAATGTTACAAAAATATATAGTCTAGTACACAAAAGACCTCTGATCGGATGGAAAACAGCTTGTATCAAGCTCATTGCCAGTTGAACCCCTTGAGACCTGCAAAAATTCTAACACTAGAGTGGTTTTCCGGTGAAGAGTCTTTGATGCTTAAATTAACACTGTAAAAAAGGTGAAGTGTTGTATGTATGTAGAGTAATAGAGAATGTAATATCATAATGGGTATACTTCACTCCCTTATATAAGGAGGTGATATCTTGTTGTCCAAGACTGCCCGAGCGGGCTACCCGAACTACTCGTTCATACTGCTTGAACTGCCCGAATTACCAATTATGTAAGGCTACGTGACCTTATCCACGTATGGCTCTTATCCTAATAAGATTCCTTCTTATTTTTAGTTTTTCGCGTTAGACTGCCTAATGGTGCAACCAACTCGAGATTTGTTGAGGTAGAATGGTACCGGTTCTGAGCCTGTTTTGTCCTTTCTGATCGATCATACGACCAACTATGCCTACAGGTCGAGTTTTCAACAGGCCATTCAAGTGTTCCAGCTCAACCTGTTGTTGTCTCTTTGGACTCCTCTCACTTCTTTCGACCTGAATACTTCTCGTCGACGATCGACTTTCCTGTTGCTCTACTTCAACCATCCGGTTTGATCGACCTGATTGGCCGGTTTATTGAGTTTTCTCTTCCAGATATGATATCCCATATTATAGTCAAACTCATCAATTTGACACTAAATTTGGATTGAAATAAAGGTAGGTTTAAGATTATGGTAAGAACGTTCAAATAGGGTAAATTAAAGTAAGATAAAAATATTATTAATATATGTTTGTAACAAAAAATAGAGAAAAAGATTGAAATACATTTATTAAAAATTTTACTTACTTATTATGCAATTAAATTTTATTTAAATTTTCAATTACTTCCATTCAAATCTTCTACTAACTAAAAGGCTATATATTATTCATTGACCATGGTAATGCTGGAATATTGCCAAAGATAGAAGGGCATATAAACAGTGCGCGTGCTTTGGTGTCCGCTGACTTATGATTCGATATGAGAACTAAGGATGAACTTGTGCACATGTGTGTGAAGAATGGGGCGTTTTGGGGAATTCGTGAATGTTGCAAATGATTGTGGGTGTTAATTAATCATGAGCCGTGGGACCCACAGGTAGGGGGTTAAGTGAAAATTAGGACAGGTGTCTATTAGATTGCGATTACGGGCCATAGCCGGTGGCTAGTCCGGGTCGACCGGTCGCATGCTTCTGTCATCCCACCAACTGCCTTTGGCTTTTTTACCATCTGTGATTATGATTTTTTTTTATTTTTTTCGGCTTTTCCACCATATGTGATTTATCATTTTCTTTTTATTTCCTTACTGTGATGAAATTTAAGGAGTGGTTGTTTATGAATTCAACTATTTTTTATTTGTTTTGTTTTTTAATTATAGTTAATTTTGAAAAAAGGTACTACCTCTTTTTCTTAAATGTCATTTTGGTTTTATGAACAATTACCCAAATAAATACATGTTTTTCTATTATTACCTCCATCTAACTAATAAATACACTACATATCTTTCTCAAAACATCCATCTCTATCCTCATTAATGAGGATTAATATTGGCAAAAATAAGATTCTTAATTACTGTGCAACTTCTCAAAACGACACTTATTAAAAAAATGAGGGAGTAGTATGATTAGCTGTTAGTGGATTTATTAAAATAATATTTAAATAAAATAATTAAGTTGATTTGATGTAAAGTATGAGAAAAATGATTGGAAATGATAGTTAGTTAAAATTATGTGAGTGGATGAATAGTGAATTAAAGTTGATGTGATGTGTAAGAATGATTGTTTAATATTATTTAATTATATTGATAATAAGGGAGATAATGAGGTTGGGTTAAAGTTGAGTTAAATTTAAGTTTTGATTGATTTTTTTATTGTAGAAACTATAAACAATCGCACCCTTACTCTTCAGTTCAGTTGATCCATTATGGATGTCATTCGAGTTGATTGACTCATGTTTGCGATTGTACTCGTTTATTATGACTTGGTCACTGGCTCATTTAATGAACAAATCAAAATCTCAATTCTTGTTTACGAACAAGTTTGACTCGACAGTATCCTTTAAAATTAATAATAATTAAAAAAAAAGGAATGAGTTATTCGGGAAAAACCTCTATTTGGTTATGTGACAAATTACTTGTAAGTTGTTCCGCTTTGACTAAATAAAGAAAGTGACTTAATTTAGAAGCCCAGTGAACTAGTACTCATATCACCAATTGGTTGTAGACGTTGTCATTTCTCGTTCTAGACTGTGTTTTGGAGGGACCTGAACCGGTCCGATGATATATACAGGGCGGTTCAATGAATCGCTGGTTCCGAGGACACTGTTTATTTCAAAAAATAAAGAAACAATAAAAAATTAAAAGAAAATATTAAATTCAATCGTCATTTCATTTTCATAAATGGAACTTGAACTGGCCCTGGTAAAACCACGAGTCGATTCAAGGCAAGTGAACATGGGCTTGATCAGGTTGGTTCGGCCCGAAGCCATAACTAATTGGTTGTGAGATAGAAATTCATTAAGGTGACAACTACTCTCATTCTGTTAAGTAGTAGTGCTTCGCCCTATGAGATTGCACACATTCCCCTTAAAATATAAAAATAATATAGTTTCACTACAGGTCTGATTTAAAAGATTTGATTGACATTTGATTGATAGAGTTTTCCCACATTGACTAAATAAAAAAAATACTTATAG